GCGGTAGCGGTAGCTGTAGTGGTAGTGGTAGTGGTAGTGGTAGTTGTAGTCGTCGTAGTAGTCGTAGTCGTCGTCTTCGTCATAGTAGTCACAGTAGCAGGGGCAGCAATAGCAGAGCTTTTTTGTTGAAGTTAATTGTGAATATTTTTCCTAGGGCCCACAGATTGCTTGTTAATCCAGACCCCAAACAATTCGTAAAATTCACTTACCCGGGGTTTGTGTACTACCCCCTTGAAAAGCTATTTGGGGCAATGAGATCGATGCGTTTTTATCAGGGTTTAAATAATGGTTTTCGGGTCAAAGTTCCGTGAATCAAATTACACCACCGTAGACCCCAAACAGTTTGTGTTTTTCAAAATCGAAACTAGAGCTTGCGACGTCCAGAGCTGGGAGACAAAGGATTCCAAGGCAGAGGCGGCCACAGCAGCCCAGAGCTGGGAGACGAACGTAAAGGATTGCAAGGCAGAGACGGACACAGCAGTACAGAGCGGGCGGACACATCTTAAGAAAGAATTGAGAAGCCCTAGCAGTAAACCTTTTGGGGAATTATTCTTCAAGTGCGAACATGATGCTGGTCACGCTGCTCAATCAGCAAGGAGGTGACCACGTGAGGACAACAAATAGAAGCATGAGGAGCGAAGGATGTGACATGAAATTGATTTTTGGTGCCTGACGCATGCCCTCCGTCCCAACTGAACAGAGAGATCGCTGCCACGCCGCCGAAATCCAATCCAGTCATTCATCCAACGCTTGCCCGAAAAGGAAAACACAGCTGAGAGAGTTACACAGTGTGGCAGGAATGCACTCCTGGAGACTGTCACGCGGCAGAAAACAGCAGTGCAGGCACCAAACCTGAAAGACAAAAAGAAAGAAGTCGCATGGGAGACAAATGAACAGAAATGCTACATGGCCAGCGGAAAAGGGCGGCAGCACCAATGAATAGAAATGTTGCATCGCCAGCGGAAAAGAGCGGACACCAACAGTGACAGAGCTGGGAGACTAATGCATGGCCGCAGAAAAGGGCGGACACAGCAGTGACAGACCTGGTAGACAAATGAATAGAAATGCTGCATTGCCTGTGGAAAAGGGCGGGACACCAGCAGTGACAGACCTGAGAGACAAATGAATAGAAATGCTGCATGGTCAGCGGAAAAAGGGCGGACACCAGCAGTGACAGACCTGGGAGACAAATGAATAGAAATGCTACATGGCCAGTGGAAATGGGAGGACACCAGCAGTGACAAAAAGGGCGGACACATCTTAAGAAAGAATTGAGAACCCCTAACAGTAAACTGCTTAGGGAAAAAGTGGGAGACAAATGCAAGGAAGTGGGAGAAGCCGGCGGGAAACCCGACTACAAGCACAAGGACCCAGCCTGAGAGACAAATGAAAAGAAGTGGGAGACAAATGAAAGGAAGTGGGAGACAAGCTGGCCGGGAACCCGACCACAAGCACCCAGCCTGAGAGACAAATGAAAAGAACTGGGAGACAATTGAAAAGAAGTGGGAGACAAATGAAAAGAAGTGGGAGACAAATGAAAGGAAGTGGGAGACAAGCCAGCCGCGAACCCCACAATCACCCAGCCTGGGGTGAGAGTGAATGTGGGTGAGTGAGTGTGTGTGTGTGTGTGAGTGCGAGTGTGAGCGAGAGCGAGTGAGATGGGAGTGGGAGAGTGCGAGTGTGAGTGAGAGTGAGCGTGAGCGGGAGTGAGTGTGGATGAGAGAGTGGGAGAGTGAGCGTTAGCGCGGGTGAGAGTGGGAGTGTGAGGGAGTGTGAGTGTGAGTGAAAGTGGGAGAGAGTGGGAGGGTGAGAGAGTGAGCATCTGAAAGCACAAAGTACTGCGCCTGCCACGAAATCTGCACTTCGAGGTTCACCGTGCGCTGCGCCTGCCACGAAATCTGCACTTCAAAGTTCACAAAGTGCTGTGCCTGCCACGAAATCTGCACTTCGAGGTTCACCAAGTGCTGCGCCTGCCACGAAATCTGCACTTCGTGGTTCACAAAGCGCTACGCCTGCCACGAAATCTGCACTTCGAGGTTCAGCAAGTACTGTGCCTGCCACGAAATCTGCACTTCGAGGTTCACCAAGCACTGCACCCGCCACGAAATCTGCACCAAAGTGCTGCACCTGCCACGAAAACTGCACTTCGAAGTATAACAGCTCCGATCCCTTGCACCTGTCACGAAAAGTCGACTTTGGAGCACCAAAGCACGAGGTTTCCCTTGCACCTGCCACGAAAAGTGACCACCATGCACCAAAATACGCACGGCACCACAACGAGAACGCAGTCGCTAGAAGCACCCGCCGCGGCCACCCAGATTCTGCGAGCCTGCGCAGTCGAAATGCACATTGATGATGTCGGGAGGCATGAATGTACTGTAAATAGCAGCGAATTAGCCGCACACGCCCACGCGGAACAGCGATCTAAGCACACCTTCCTTTCCCCTACCGTAAGAACCCCCCAGTGTGCCCACACTGTTTGGGGAACAAACATCCAGCACCGACTTCCTGGTAGGAACCGCCACATGTGGGAACCAGAACGATTATCTGAATGTTGAGAGGCCCTTTGTGTGGAAAAGCTTTGCATCCTTCTTTCCAGCGAGAGACCTTGGCTTGTCCTCTGCGCTGGCCCCTTTCGGGTTGGTTCCCTGGTTTGATGTACCAGTTCGTGGGCATCCACCCCCCCTGCAGGCTTGCAGGCTTGAGCAACGTGGTCAAGATTGGACTCTGCTTTGTCAAGAGATTGTGGTGTCATTGGAAGCGTAACCACGCCATACCGTTCTCCACATTCATATCTTCACGCGGATGTTCTCCACCCAATCCGGGTGTTCGTTGGGGATCCGCTCCTCGTGGATTTGCAGAAAATTGTCCAGAATGTAGAGTAACTGCAACATTCCCCAAACTAACGCTCAGACATACCCAAATCACCCTGAAACCCACAATCCAGGCCAGAATCAATGTTCCTCACTGATGCCTCTAGCACCCCCGAAGAATTCTATATTTTACACTCCAAGGAGAGGACTCTGAGCTCGCTTTCTCAAAGAGAACTGTTGCCAGGCACAGGCTTGGGTGTACCTAGCAGGTTTTACACGCAGCCAGACAACGCGCTGTTGCATTTTTTAGCTTTCGTTTATGTTTTGTTATAGTAACTTCACTCTCGTGGAGCACTTTTGTTTCAAATCTTTTGAAGGGCAATATTTTTTGTAAACGTGAAAAGTAGAAAACACACTTCTGCATAACCTCCAAACTACCAACCCAATACCCTGCTGCTGGTGATAACGCGCTGTTCATTCTTTTTTCAAAGTTAGTAGGACCAATACTGTGCGGCAGGTGCTTATGCGTATCACGTTTTTTTTGTGACGCGCTTTCTTCCTGCCTGCTTTGGGCCCCAGTTCTTGGTCCCGCTTTTGTTCCCAGTTCCTGTGCCAGTTCCTTTACATTCGCATAGTTGGAGTTGGAGTGTTGGAAAAGATCCAAAATCAACTCAGTTGCTACCTGCTGATCCAAATGCTTGGGCCACATCATGGAGAGGGTGGCGCAAGACTTTGATGACTGGAGTCCTTAAAAGGCCATCCAGCACCAACTTTGGCACGAACAGACACATGTGGGAACCACAGCGATTATCTGAATGTTGGGAGAGCCGTTGTGTACAAAAGTTCCGTATCATTGTGTTCTTTGCGCATGCTTCTGCCACATGTAGCACTTTGCTCGAGGCCATCTCTCGTGTGATGTGATATCATGTCAACATCTCGCTGCAGGGACGAACACATTAACCTAAGAGCCAAGAGCACCATGTTTTAATCACTGTGAGTAAACCAAAAAACAAGCCTTTGATTGGCCTGTGCTGAAATGTACTGGCGTCAATTTAGAACTTCTGAGATCTAGCGCGTCCAAGCAAACACTGCCATAGAACAGTTTGTGCATGTTCTAGTGTTGATGCGGGACATTCCAAACTAGTAAGCCGTGTCCAAGTATCAAACGTTGTAATAATACGGGTTGACAATTCTAAGGTTGAGCTGGGTTTCAGGCCGGCTGCAGGTGGGGGTTTTGTTTTGACTGCAATAGTTTTGTGCAGCTGTAGCGCTCTGATGCTCAGTCAGGTAGATGACCGGTGGTGTGTTCCGGTGCTCATCTTTTAGTCAGAGATCTGGGAATTTGGTGTAACCCAGCGACAGTCCAAAAAGAATCCTGTGGCCCATAAAAGGTATTGGAGGCGCTGTGTACTTTCCACCATGGTTTTGGTTTTCAAGACATTATGTGTTGGCGGTTTCTTCAACACATCCTTGTGCAGTACTTTTTCCTTGGTTCAGTTTTAGGTCTCTGTATGGGGCAGCGAATCCTTGGTTGGGGCTGTGTGTCTGCGCTGGATGAATCGTTTTTTCTTCGACAGTCGCCATGAAACATGTGAATCTACAGGTCTGGACTTGGGACTCCAAAGGAGTGGGACGTCTGAGTGGAGTGGACCCCCCCGCAGTGGTTGGCCACTGGGATGGGATGCCAGCCATTGGCAGCTCGCGTCCCACCCCAATTCGCAGGCCGATGACAGACCCTTCGGCCGCGAGACCGGGTGCGAGACGTCCTGAGACCGACGCCGCGTTTTGGTCGAACGTCCTGAGAGGTGGAAAAATGGAGCGCCACGCGAAGCTTAAACTGCAGAAGAAACCGTCTGACTTGGAGAGTCTCTGCTGCCAGAAGCTGCTAGACATATATGAGCAAAGAGAACAGCTGGACATGCGAGCATCGAACAACCCTACAACCCTTTGAAATCTTTGAAGGCGCAATCGCAAGTGATCTTCCGTCGCTTGAAGTACCGAATCCTGAAGCTTGACGATCCTCTTTCCCGCCGGAATGCTGCAGCTCAGAATGCACTGGGCGACCAATCTCCTGCCCGGCAAGATGTTGCAATATGTTGCACCTCAAACTTTACAGAATCAAAACAAGTAACAGATCCAAGAGTGAACCAACAACATGGTCAGCTGAAGCCACACTTCTTTCTTGCGCTTCCTCCACCGGCCTCCGGTGGCGCGCAGATGGTCACCTCTGGCTCTCTTCCGTAGACCGCCATGCCGCTGCTACCGTTCGCCGCCGACGCCGAAGCCTCTGCGCCCGAAGGTGGGCCGTTCGAACGGCGCCAACGACGGGGGAGTGCCTCGGAAGACGGGGGAAGCGGCGCCGCTCCCGTTCGAAGGACGTGGAGTCCACGGTCGCTAGGGATCGAAGAAGAGGCACCCGGGGGGAACGCTTGGCTTAACTGGTTGAGGCAGGCTGGTCCAGTGAAGGTTGACCACGGTGTGGGACGGTTGGGGCCTTCGGTCCACATGATGGAGACCCGGAGAGGGCTATAGCGGCTTTTTGGTTCCGTGAGTTTTTTCTTTGCGTTTTCTGGTTCCATGAGCTTGGCGATGACCCATGCCTCACTCCGCCACAGATGTTGCTGCGCTTTTCATGGCTTCTTCTCGCTGTGCTGGGGCCAGGCGAGGTCCGTTCCGACCGCTGTGCCAGTCGACCGGGAATGGATGTAGCGCATGGGTGGGGTCTGTCCTATTACCTGTAGCAGTCAGTAAACAAGAACATCACTATTTCTGAACAAGGGCTGCAACCTAACTTCACCATCATCATCCACTGTTACCGGTAGACTCGGATAGACCGGACCTCGATGTAGCTCATGGGGGACTGGTTTGATCCTGTTGACTACATGTAGCTCACGATCTCTTTGCCAAAGCTGGTGGAACCGATCTGCTTTTTGTGGAAACGATCGGGCGGGTCCTTTGGGGCTTTTTGCGGGCCGAGAACAGCGAACACCTCGCAACATCCACTCCACCGTCAGCTCTCAAAGCCTCCAACTATGGGAATTCATACCCAGGCGAGATCCGGGGTCTGTGTGGCGAGTTCTTGGGGCCTGAGAGCCGGTGGTGAGACCGGGTCCACCGCCAGGCGCCCCACGGGGTCCATGTTCCTCCTGGTTAGGTACTGCCGCGATGTCGCTGGAGGCGCTGGTGCCGGCTCCAGGTTCGGCGTGCTGTGCCGTGCTGTTTGATTGGCGGCGAGACACTGAACGCTCTCAGGGGACACTGAACGCACTCAGAAAGACACACCTTTGAAATTTTTGGTTTTTCAAGACATGATGTTGTGTTGGCGGGTTTTCGTTCTTCCACGTTCTTCCTTGTGCAGTACCTTCCCTTGTACTTTAGGCTATAGGTCTCCGGTGGGGCGATTCTTTGGGGCCACGTGTCATATCTACAGGCTCTGCACTTCGGACTCGAGGGGGGATGCTTTTTGGGAGCAACGACCTAGATTTATGGACCATTTCAGTGGTTGGGAACTGGACGACGTGGATGACTTTGGGACGAACTGCTTTACTTATTGATTAACAATTTCTACTATGTCAGAACTGGCCGGGAACGGTTTTGGAAGGTCTGGTGTACTTGAGCTTCAACACTTCGGCCTTGGCCTACGACAGTAGTCGGAATTGCTCAGTGAGAGTCGCCCCTGGGCCACCAGGGACGATGCTGGTAGACACTGGAAGGGGTTGGGGGAGGAACCCAGTAACCGGGTGTTGGAACCCACTCTGCTCATGCCAAGACAAACCGTTGGAACCCACTCGGCCTGAAAGCTGGGGTACTTGTAGTGTAGCAGGGCCCAGATAAGAACACCAAGCGAGTTGCAACGCATTTCCAGGTGGAGTCAGCTTTTTCTTAAAATCTACAAGTGGGATTAGAAGGGATCTTCCACATGCTTTGTGGATGCCACCCTGATGACCTGTCCAAACTGGCTTATATTGGTTCGCAGCCTTGGGGACCTTGATCTTCAAGCAGCTGGCTGAGGCTTGGTCTTGGGTCATGTATTTCACCATTGCTTTTGGGGTACCCAGGGTATCGGACAGGGCCCTTCCTCGAGCGCTCTTTTGGTCGTTTTTTTGGGCTCCCTCAGAGGATGGACTGGAGTCTTACTCAGGTTCTTGGGCATGGATTGAACGATTCGCCCCCCCCAGAAGCAGCTGGTGTTGGGCATTCATGCCATTTCATCTTCACCAATTCCGACTGCGGCTCCTTTGCTTCAGCTTCGCGCGGCTTCGCCAACGGCTTCGCCGAGGACCTCGTGAACGCGACGCGGCTGCTGCACGCAGAGGCTCCAGGCCTCGGTGGGGGACGGCGGGTGGGTTCGGCGCCAGGTGCAGATCGGTTTTGATGTGGCGGTTCGAAGAGGTTCGTTTTGAGGTTTGATGCGCGTTGGGCGGATGACGGCAGAGTGATCCAAAGCCGAAGCAACATGGAGCCTGTATGTTTCCCCTGCCAGTTTGTAGAGGAAACTTGTCCAACCAGAGGTCCATCTTTCTTCGCATTGTCAGTGAACCTCCAGTGGAGACTCCAGCTGTAGATCTGGTATGATCTGGTGAATCGTATCAAAAGTCATTCTCTGAGCCGGACTTCATCTTGTTCCCGAATGCGTAGCGAAGGGTTCTCGTTTAACTCTGGGGGTCTGGGGGTAGAGTCTTGTTCGCGATCCGTTGTTTCTATGTTCGCAACCGTCCGCAACCGTTCGCAACCGTTCGCAACCGTTCGCAACCGTTCGCAACCGTCCGCAACCGTCCGCAACCGTTCGCAGTAGGACGCTAAGGCGCTGCCATTGGGGGAAGCTTTTGCAAGTGACTTTTCATGGATGTGTCACGTGTCAGTTTGCGACGCTATTCCATTGTGATTTGCATGAAAATGACATGTCGCGCAAGAAGCGTGATGGATTTCGCTGCACAGGCGCAGTGGTTTGAGAGATCCGCAGTTTACTGCGCAGTTCCATTGGGATTAGCGTTTGGAGAGTCGTGTTTTTGGGGTGTTGGATGTGGCCGTGCCATTGGGATTTGCATTTCAGGGTGTGGCATCGAAGCTCTGTTTTCGTGACAAGTCTCAGCTGAAATGGCGATTTTGGTGGATGGGAGTGTGCTCAGAACGGGTCGAAATCATTCTAAACGTGTGGTGTGGTGCAAATTTTGTTGAAGCTCATGTGAGATGATATTCTCACTTTTCGTGGCAGGCACAGTACTTTGTGCTGATTTTGAGGTGTGGAAGTGCGATTTTCGTGGCAGGCGCAGGAAATCGTGAGGTTGCGAGGTGTGACGGAGTTGACATTTCGTGGCAGGCGCAGTACTTTGTGCGCGTTAGACGTGTGGATGCGGAAAGATTCGTGGCAGGCGCAGGGAATCGCGAGGTCGTGAGTTATGGTAGAGGTGAATGTCGCTGTCACATTGGGATTGGCGTGTGAGCGGGTGTCGTTTGGAGGGGCTGGAATCGCGAAATTGCTAGGCAGGGCTGCGTGATGTGTGTGCTCCGATGGGTGTTTCCGCTGGACTTTTGGAGGAAGTCTCGTACGAAACGCTCGTTTTGGAGACTTGACGTGTGACTTTTGGAGGAAGTCTCGTGCGAAACGCTCGTTTTTGAGACTTGACGCGTGACTTTTGGAGGAAGTCTCGTACGAAACGCTCGTCTTGCAGCCTCGCAGCGTGACTTTTGGAGGATGTCTCGTACGAAACGCTCGTTTTGGAGACTCGACGTGTGACTTTTGGAGGAAGTCTCGTACGAAATGCTCGTTTTGGAGACTTGACGTGTGACTTTTGGAGGAAGTCTCGTACGAAACGCTCGTTTTTGAGACTTGACGCGTGACTTTTGGAGGAAGTCTCGTACGAAACGCTCGTTTGGGAGACTTGACATGTGACTTTTGGAGGAAGTCTCGTACGAAACGCTCGTTTTGGAGACTTGACGACTTTTGGAGGAAGTCTCGTACGAAGAGTGCCCTACAAGAGTGTCCCACAAGAATGTCCTACAAGAGTGTCCCACAAGAGTGTCCTACAAGAGTATCCCACAAGAGTTTCGTACAAGAGTGTCCCACAAGAGTGTCCCTTAAGAGTGTCCCGCAAGAGTGTCCTATAAGAGTGTCCCACAAGAGTGTCCTACAAGAGTGTCCCACAAGAGTTTCCTACAAGAGTGCCCCACAAGAGTGTCCCACAAGGGTGTCCCACAAGAGTGCCCTACAGGAGTGTCCCACAAGAGTGTCCTACAAGAGTGTCCCACAAGAGTGTCCTACAAGAGTATCCCACAAGAGTGTCCTACAAGAGTGTCCCGCAAGAGTCTCCCACAAGAGTGTCCCGCAAGAGTCTCCCACAAGAGTGTCCCACAAGAGCGTCCTACAAGAGTGTCCCACAAGAGTGTCCCATATGAGTGTCCCACAAGAGTGTCCCACAAGAGTGTCTCACAAGTGTGTCCCACAAGAGTGTCCGACAAGAGTGTCCCATAAGAGTGACCCACAAGAGTGTCCTACAAGAGTGTCCCGTAAGAGTGTCCCACAAGAGTGTCCTACAAGAGTGTCCCACAAGAGTGTCCTACAAGAGTATCCCACAAGAGTTTCCGACAAGAGTGTCCCACAAGAGTGTCCCACAAGAGTGTCCTACAAGAGTATCCGACAAGAGTTTCCTACAAGAGTGCAAGAGTGTCCCGCAAGAGTGTCCCACAAGAGTGTCCCACAAGAGTTTCCTACAAGAGTGTCCCGCAAGAGTGTCCCACCAGAGTGTCCCACCAGAGTGTCCTACAAGAGTGTCCCACAAGAGTGTCCCGTATGAGTGTCCCACAAGAGTGTCCCACAAGAGTGTCCCACAAGAAAGTCCCGCAACAGTGTCCCACAAGAGTGTCTCACAAGAGTGTCCCTTAAGAGTGTCCCACAAGAGTGTTCTATAAGAGTGTCCCACAAGAGTGTCCTACAAGAGTGCGCCAGAGTTTCCTACAAGAGTGTCCCGCAAGAGTGTCCCACAAGAGTGTCCCACAAGAGTGTCCTTATAGAGTGTCCCACAAGAGTGTCTCACAAGTGTGTCCCACAAGAGTGTCCTACAAGAGTGTGCTGCAAGAGTGTCCCGTAAGAGTGTCCCGCAAGAGTGTCCTACCAGAGTGTCCCACAAGAGTGTCCTACAAGAGTGTCACGTAAGAGTGTCCCACAAGAGTGTCCCGCAACAGTGTCCCACAAGAGTGTCTCACAAGAGTGTCCCTTAAGAGTGTCCCACAGCCGCAGTTGTGGATTTCTCTGTATTATGTGGACGGTTATCATTTTCAAGTGCTTCTTTTCGAGCTCTTGGGACAATGCCGTTGTTTCTTTCGTGATGTGGATTTGCCAGAACCTTTACGCCAGTGCTTGATTTGAACGCAACACGAAGACCCTTCATGACGAAGACGGAGCTTGATGGTGAAGTCCCCAGCACATGCTGCCTTGGTGGTGGATTCCCCAGCGCATGATGTCCAACAGCGTACCGGAGTGTGAAAAAGATAATCTAACCGGCTGTGTCTCTTTCTATACACAGTGGATTGACATATGTGTTTGCATTCGGGTTCGTGGGCTCCATCTTGTTTTTTGATACATCTCCAAAACAACCACCGTTTCGTCCGTTTCGTCCCAAAAAGTAGGTCCTAGTAGGTATCCCACATGCAGATCTGTTGGGAGTGTGAGATGTTTCTTCACCTTCGCGGAGGAACGCGCACCGTTCCCGGCGACGGGTGCCGTTCTCGGCGCGAGCGCACCAGGCTGCCGCTTCTTGACCGAGGCGCCTTCATGGCCCAGTGCTCGATCCTGCACTTCGGTGCCTTGGAAGGTGAAGAGCGACAGGTGAGGCTTCGAGTCCTCGCCTTTTCCGACGCTCCGTGAACGACGCCCGACCGGTCCCTCAAAATCCCAGGGATTCGAGGGTGTGGACCCCTCCATACTTCAGGCAGACAAAAGTTTACGCTTGTTAGCCTTCTTATAAAACACTCTGAGGTCAGCGGCGGATCGAATTAACAAGTCTAATTTTCGTGGCAGGTGTGGGACGGTCAATTATCACACTCTTTTAAATTTATAGTAATAAAAGGCTTTCCGGGGTGACAAATGACCGCCCACACCTTCCCTTGTCTCATGGTGTAGGATTCTAGGGGGATAGGGTTGTCATGAGTTTCAACATCAAGAAGCGCAACTTTCTTCTGGCCAGTGCGTTAAAAAAGGGGTGTTGCATTGACAGGTAACTGATTGGTCGTT